AGGGCATCCTAAGGCAGGTGCCGAGTGTGGAAGGCAGAGGGCAGAGGCAGATGAGGAGACGGGGACAGTCCTCTCGGGCACTGCCCCCCTCCCTCCACCACGTCATGGTATCCTGCCTGGTCCTTCAGAGGAGCACTGGGTAGACCAAAATGGTCTGATTCCTCAGACAAGGGACCAACTAAGACAGGCACAGTTGTACAGGGGCCATCAGGGGAGAAGGTGGCACTCATAAGAGGCGCCACAGACCCTCAACCCCATGCTGTGCCTTTACCTGAACTTTTACTCCTGGGGAAGGTCTCCTGCCCCACTGGCTGCTCTGTTTCCCATGCCCAGCTCAGATGGCATCACACAGGTGACAAAGACCGGTGGGCCCTGCCCCAATAAGTACCAGTTTTCCATTCCTACCTGGGCCCCAGGGTCAGCCAGGGGCAGATGAAGGACAGGGCGGCAGCAGGAGAGCCATTTCCCCTTTCTTCCCTCCTTTCTCCCTAATCCCCACCACCCACAGTAAACTTCTTCCCCTTGCCTTTCCTTGGCTTTCTCTTTCTCTTTAGTCTCCACTCCCCTCTGTCTCCCCTCCCTACCTGCACTCCCTTTCTGCCCTCACCCCTCCCTGCCTCCTGAGCCTGCTTCACTCATCTTCCTCCCTGGCATCTGGAGCCATCCCTGGGGATGTCCTGGTCTTGTCCAGGGCCAGGCCTGGGAGAGCACTGGGCACCTGGTGAGAGAGCAGAGCCCTGGGCCCCACCCCATTCCCTCCTCCCTCCATAGCCTTTCCTGGGGACTTGGAGGGAGGTAAGTGAGGCAGGGAGGGGAAGGAATCCCTGGAGCCTGGGCTCCACATGCTACTTCTGTGTCGCTGGAGAAGGGGGTCAGGGCCTTCCTGTGGGAGCTTCCCAGGAGGAAGGAGAGGGGGAGAAAGGGTATAGAGAGAGTGCCCACTAGATCTCTCTCAGGGTGAGTCCATGGGGGAGGTGCCCAGGGTCCTGGAGGGGTGGTGGCACTGGAGTGCAGGTGGGACACACCTGGCTGTGTTCCAGCGTAGGCATGCTTGCTTTCATGAGGTGGGTCAGCTCTGTGGTTACGTGCTTTTCTGTTCTGTCTTGATATTTGACAGCTCCCTCCTGGAATTGTTCCCCAAGTTATTACACCTGGTAAGTGTCTTCCTTTATCCCTGATTTCTCCAGCTGGTACAGACAGCGCTCACAACCTGCCCTGACTCCCTTAGATCTTGCCCAGGTTATATTTTTGGATCTGACCCCTAATCCTCATGGAGGTCAGACCCATGAGGGACCCTGATAAAGCTACGGATCTTCTCTACAGTTCACCACTGGCTTCTGGGAGCCCCTGGTGAAGACCCCATGATAGTCTCACCCATGGAATTTTCAAGGCCTTTTCCCTCTGACCTCTGACCCCCCGCCCTCTCCTGGGTCCATCCTTTTTCTGGACTATTCAGTTCCACCACCCCGGTCTGCACTGCTGACTTCCTCTTCCCTCCCCCAGGATGGCCACGAGTTACCCCCACCCATTATCTTTGGCATTGTAGCCTACACAAAGTTACCAGTCTGCAAGGTGAGGGGGTGTGATCAAGCAGAGCTTGGGGTGGTGAGTGTGGAGGGGATGACAGCCAGGGTCCTGAGAACCGTTTGGATTCCAGGGGAGCGTCTTTGGATCTGAGACCCTGAAGAGTCTAGTCATGCAATTCCTGAAGCAGTTAAGTACCCCTGGGGCTTGGAGGCAGGGAAGGCTGGGATGGGCCAGGCCA